AGGCCCAAAAACGCAAGACCCGCAAGAAGATGCCGGTGATGACTGCCCGCCCCATTAAGCTTGTGCACCGTCGGAAGCTGGAGAGTCCAAGAAGATGGGGTCCGAAATACCCTCATCTTCTGCTGGAGCAAGATTAAAAAGATCTTCGTTTGCAAACTCTTGCTCCTCAAAGCCGGATGGGATCTTGAAAACTTCCTCGTTAAAGGTCTTTTCAATGGCAGTCCAGTCCTCTTTCTTCCAGCCGACAGTATGGGCAATGCATCTTTGGGCAGCGGTCCATCCTCCGTCAAAGCGGTTCTAAAGCCGCGTACAAAACTCTTGAGATGTCAGGAAACGTCTAACAGCCCTCTGACGGATTCCAGGTTTATCTGCTTCCAATATTTTGATTTTTTCTTGAAGATCATGAACAGAGCCCTTGGCGGCCTCAAGATCCTTCTCAAGAGTAGAAACGCGGCTGACAATTTTGTTTTTCTTAGTAATTTGAGTCTTTAATTGCTGCACTTCTAGCTCGAGATCTTTAACCTTAGAAGCTGTCTCCCTGAGGGATGACATCTCAAGATCATCTCTCTCTTTTGCTTCCTTCAAGTTTTGCAGAGCCTTATCAGCGTTGTCCAGGGCCGTTTGAAGTGCATTCTGGCTGGCAGAAGCTTGATGGTGCTGTTTTTGGTAATAACGGTACATTTCAACAATCTCAGTGCCAGACATAACGGCCTATGAAGTAATAAAAACAAAAGTTAGTAGAAGTTATATACCTAACGACAGAAAGATATGTATATCAAGGCATAACAAAAATTATAAACTAGAGGGCGATAACCTTCATCATGTTATGCATATGCATAGCAGCCAAAGGGTCGATGACACCAGCATGCCTATCCATTGGGAGGGTCAAGTTGCTTAAAAGACGGTAACCCAGAGTTCCACCTAGCATAGGGTCATCAGTGATCATTGACTCATTCCGACATGCATCAATGGCAGGTTGCCATTTATCCCCAGAATGGCCATGAGGGACAGAAAATCCGCGGAGAACGACCTCAGGTATCCTCTCGTTGGGGCGCTCGATCCATTGATTAGATTGGTAGATAAGACCAGGGGCGCTTGTATCGGAACCGCCAGCGGCAGTGGTAACAGTTTGACCTGCTGCTTGGTCCGGTATGTTAGGTTGAGGTGGGGTTGGAGATTCAACGTTGGTAAGGTCCTCAACGTCAATTATGTCAATCACTTTTTTGACGACTGCGACAGAACTCTGAACAACCGTTTTCACTTGAACCTTGGGGGAAGGAGGTTTGTCCTTATTCTCGGCCTGATTCTTTTTGTTACGATCTTCAGGTTTCCGAGTAATGCCTGATCTGGGAAAAGTACCCCGCCGATTGGCCAGGGATGTTATTTTTCTTTTCTTGGCGTTTTCATCAGCCATACTCTCAGCTTTTCTTTTAGCGCTGACGGACGGAGTACGGCTGCAATGGGTAGCGAGAGTATCGTACAAGGGCTTTGTAGCCTTAGGGCAGCGTCTGATAACTCTCTTACCGTCAGAAGAAAGCCCTAATAATTTGTTATCTAACTTATCAACACCTGCAAAGAATATTAACATAACGTCAAAACCATATTATGAATAGACATACAAAATATACAAATATATAAAACAAAACGCTTGGCAAACCGACAACACAATTGAAGGAGATATTTACTGATAAGTAAGTTAGTACCATATTGGTCAGTCCAGCAAAGACCAACGTGAGATAAAGGAGCGTTTCCAAGAATATATCCAGCATTCGGCACCCACACCTTAGGAGTGATACGAACCCGACCGTCACCATTATCAGATTCGATAATGTCAAAATGGTTGACGACCCTGCGCTCATGTTTTCCAAGGTTTCTCTCAGGAATAGATTCAAACCTTGGATGGGGCCGAAAGAATGTCCGTCTGAGTGGGAAATCATCAGGAACTGACATAAAAAAAACTTATCTTGCCACCCTTTGCAGCTTGATAATTTAGGGTGGACGGTATACTTGTGAGGTTGGGTATATAAAGACCACCATCCATCTGACTGCCCATCTCTCTTTAAAGTTAACAGCCGTCTAAATGCGTTAAGGGTTAACGGATAGTTCCTATGAAGAAGAACCCAAATAAGGGCAATAACGACACGGATGGTGGGAGGGGTAAGCTGTACAAGACAAACGTTCCAGGCCTTCTAAATTTTAGCCACAAAAGGATGAAGGGGGAAACGGAGACCGAAATCAAAGTGCTTAAGGTAAATGGCAACATGGCCATCTGGGCAATCGAGCACTGAAGATCCAGAAGGTGGAACACAAAGCTCATACCCGTCTGGAAGTTTATAAAATCGCTTGGCATGCTGGCAATAACCCTTTTCCAAAGCCGTTTCCCTGAACTTTTCGTTTATCTTAGCTCCTGCAACTTTGCCTTTAGCAGCTAAGACAATAGCATGTCGGAATTCAGCCCCGTCGGTCTCGGAGTTATACCCTTCGTCAAGATTCTCCTCTTGAATAATTTCAGCTGTCATATCAATTATGTCATTTCTACTGTCAGCATTGACACTATCCTCTTGAGCGTCGTCATCACCCAAGACAGAATTAATGGCCGATTCATGGACTGGTGAAGGTTCATCTCTCTTAGCATTTGAAGGGGAATCCGTATCATCAGATTCGGAAGAGCTGGCAACTTGATCTTCTTTAGCCTTCTTGCTCGACTCGGCCTCTTCAGCAGCATCACGAGCGGCAACCTCAGGCTCATAACTGGTACTCCTAACTCTTGGCATAGTACTTATACCTATATGCCCCACGTTTGAGCCGCATTGGTCAAATTGAGTATTAACAAAACTCCTCAAATGATAACGAACACTAACCGGTTCAACCTCAAGGATTTGAGTGTCTTCCGGTATGTTAGGGTTAACGGGACGGTTAGCTTTTTTGCACTCGGCTAGCAGTTTATGACGGTAAAAGGCCTTCTTTTGTTCTTCTACAGATAACGGCTGAAAAGGGTCGTCAATGTTGTCAGAAAGTGAAGATGTGGTTTCTCCAGTTCGACCAAGGTCTTTTCCTAAGGATTGTCTAATAAGTCGGCGCCTAGTAGTATTAAGGGTAGGTTGTTCTTCTTCAATACTACTGTTGGACATCTAATTCTTGATTTATACACCTGAAAGTGAAAGGAAACAAAATTTAAAACATGCAATTTGGTCTCTCTCTTTTTTTAAAAAAAAAAAAATGGAAGGAAGAAAATAACTATGAAATTAACCAAATAATTCGAAATCAAAATTAGTCAATTGGGATTAAAGTTTCGTGAGTACCTTAAACTATTCGCCAACAATGGAACGCTCCAACAATTATCTGTGGTGTCGATAGGACTAGCGCAGAAGACAGATGATGGAAAGAAGGTATCCTAAACCGTAAATCCTTTATGTCGAAGAAATATCTCAAGAAATTATCTTGTTTATCAGGAAATGGCGAGAAAAGTAAATAAAATGAATAGTAAAGGTTACGAATTAATTATTAAATATATAAAAAAAAACGGTTGAAGTGACAACCGTGTCAGAAATCTAACGGTTCAAAAATTTGAAAATTAAAACTGCAGATTCACAGATTAACGACAAGTGTTTGTCCCCAATAGCTGTTTCCCGCTTATTTTACTAGTAGACGCTTCATATACTTAACTGACCCGGTTTATTTTTTCTAAAGTCGACCTTGTCTGCTTACGGCACACAAGGTCACTTGGGGGAGAAAACGGAGTTTTTTCTGCTCCCGGTTTATTTTTTCTAAAGTCGACCTTGTCTGCTTACGGCACACAAGGTCACTTGGGGGAGAAAACGGAGTTTTTTCTGCTCCCGGTTTATTTTTCCTAAAGTCGACCTTGTCTGCTTATGGCACACAAGGTCACTTGGGGGAGAAAACGGAGTTTTTTTTGCTCCCGATTTATTTTTCCTAAAGTCGACCTTGTCTGCTTACGGCACACAAGGTCACTTGGGGGATAAAACGGAGTTTTTTCTGCTCCCGGTTTATTTTTTCTAAAGTCGACCTTGTCTGCTTACGGCACACAAGGTCACTTGGGGGATAAAACGGAGTTTTTCTGCACACTGCGCTCGGTAAATTATTATATAACGTAACCGATATACACACCAAAGAACAACAATAAATTATTACATAACACAATTCAAAATAATTTCTTCAAAACCCAAATACATGATCTTAATAAAATGCTCGACAGAGAGCAAGAAATAAAAGCCTGAACATATCATAAACAGTTTTACAGTAAACACTTCTAGAATTGCTGCAAGAGTATGAACGTCGACTACTTGTCGGACGTCCACACTTGGGGGACTAGTTGTATGGGAGGATATATAGGATGGGCCGACATCTTTTACAGATTCGGATTTAAACCCGGTAGGGATGATAAATGGGCAGATATGTTTGGTAAAGCAGACATATCGGCCTGTCGATACTTGGCACGTGGCAAGAGCAGCTTGACACTTGGCAGAAAAGGGCTTTGCATGCTCTGTAGACACCTGTCATGATACTTATTATAAATAGTAGGTTGGGAGTCATTAATGAGGTATTAATTACACTCTCTTTATCTCTTTCTCTCTCTTCTTTCTCTTTCTTAATTACACATTCTAACTTTATTATCAGAGTGGTTATCCCCGGAACATCCCGGGGTTAGCTAACTTCTGTTCAATTGTGTAGGTTCTCGGGTTGCCAATAGGAGTGTTAGGATCTCGGGTTTGGGTTCTCGGGTTATCGGATCCAGACAGAAACATTTACATAGTAAAACCTACAAAAAAATAATATCATTCACATAGCTATTAGACATGAACAACATGATTTTGTCAAAGCAACTTATTAAATTTCAAAAAAATGATGAACTATTTTCTAATAAAAATTCCAAAGAAAACACTCCTCTTCGTGTTGCGGCCGAGGTCGGAAATTTTAGTATAGTAGAACTACTCTTTGGTCACTTAGGTGATACTAACTTATGGAGAGTTAAAAATATTATGGGCAACACTCCTCTTCATGTTGCACTTATCCATTATAATGTTAAAGTTGCAAAATTTTTATTGGAGAAGGATTCTTATTTGGCTCAAATTGTCAATAACTCAAAGGAAGCACCACTTCATCTTGCAATCAAGCAACTTGTTAATTATTGTAAGTTTGCTTTTTCTCTATACCATTTTCGTATTTTGTTTTTGTTTTTATTTTTATTTTTATTTTTTTAGATCCTAAAATATATTGCGTATATTAAAAAATATTTATTGATAAAAAGTCATATTACATCTACAAAACAAGCAAGTACTCGAATATGAATAGAGAGCAAAGGTAGGGTTATCCGGGTTAGTTTATACTCCTTCCGTTTTTAAATAATTGTTTTATTCCTCTTGGGCACGTATAACGATGCTGATTATTTTTGATTAATTATATCTTTAATTATCAATAAGTATAAATTATAACAATTGAAAATTAATAATCTATTCATTGATACGATTTTAACACGTACCCACAAGACTATATTTTTTCTTATATATAAATCACAAACATTAGTCAAAATAAGACAAATAAATAGTGCATAAATAGAAATGGAGTAAGTATTTAAAGGCGGAGGGAGTAATAAGCTACTAATGTGCTATTTAGTTATTAATTTCTGTTACACATAATAAACAGAAAGCATAGAAGTCATTCGATTATGGTAATCTAAGGGTGCAAATTAGATCTTAACTTCCATTATTATCGCTAGACTTTGGTTCTCATCAGAATTTGGTTTTATTAATCGGATAAACAATTAAAGGCTTGTTTAGTTTATTTTACTTCAACTTCTCTGATTTGATTTGATCTGGTATAATGTGATGATTTGATTTGATTTGATTTGATTGTCTTATTTAATCAAATTAATTTGACCTTATTTGTACGATAATAATAATAATAAAAGAATATATTAAGTTGGATTTTGTTAAATTCGTAACGATGTCCATTTTACTAATATGTAATTTCATAATATTTTTTAATTACAAAATTGCATCGTGTAGTTCATCGTATTTGTGTTTATTTGTAGCTGAGAGTAAATCAATAATGGCTAGAGTACGAAAACCGATCAACTCAGCACACCAAGAAGATATAAATGATATGATAGAAGTCATAAAACTTGTTGAAAAAGCAAGTTTTGTTACATGTTGGCCTGATGCAAAAGGTTTGACTCCTCTTCATCAAGTAGCATCTCTCAGTAGTCCTCATAATATAGAGTTAACCAATTTCATACTCGACAATTGTGGACAATCCGCGGAGGTGTGTGATGCTTCAGGCAAGTCGATCTTACACCTTTTGATAGATAAAATACCAAACTACCAAGTTATCGATGAAACTTTGTTTAGTCGTAGAGAAATGTATGCCTTGAGGAATCATCAGGACCACCAAGGAAATACACCATTACATATTGCTGCTAAGAATAAGGACATAAATATGGTGCGATTTTTACTCAAATCATCACCGAATCTCAATGTCAATAATATTGAGGGTACCTCAGCAGCATTTGTGATACATCAACTGGATGTGCTTCAGGTATGAAATATTCAGCTTTTAAGTTGTAATTACTTCTGTACAATAATATTTTACTTTATATTTTACCACTCTCGTTAAGTGGTGGATCCAGAAAAGAAAAAAAAAAAAACAATATTTAACGAGGTCAAAATATATTTGATAAATTTTAATGGTGATATTTGATAAAATACAAGTAATTTAATATTAGTAAGAAAGTTTTCAATTTTATAAGAAAATAAACTTTTTTTTTTCATGCTCAAATGGGGTCAATGGACCCCACTCAATTAGCATGCATCCGCCACTTCATTATACTCCGTAGAAGATTAACTAATATTGTAGTTCATTCTTTGATGTATCATCCTTTGTTTTTCTTATTGATCTGTTCAAAATTTATTTTTCTAATCTAATTTGATTTAAACATTTTTTTTTTCCTAATTGAATCCGGTCTGATCAGTAACTAAAATTTAAAATAAGGCGAATAAAATAAAGCCTAAGCTAATGCGAAAATTTTACAGTGGTCGTTTGAAATATGACTATCATAATATTTTAATGATTATATAGTTCATAGTTAACATTTTTTTTTCCAGTAATTAATTATATTACTCTATTTTTAGTTTTATTTATGTAAATTTTACCTCTTGGATTAAAAATTTCATAAATTATATTTGCATTGTAGAAATTAGAATACTAAGGGCCTGTTCTCTTACGTTGAAGTTCAATTCAGATCAGCTCAGTTCAGTTCAGTTCAGTTCAGCTCCTAATTTCGTTCTCTTATAAAATATTCATTTCATTTCAGTTTAGTTCAGCTCAATTTAGTTCATCTCAGTTCAGTTCAATTCAGCTCAGTTCAGTCAATGAGAACATGCCTTCATTGTGTCCAATTTATAGTGTGAGAAAATGGATCGCACATATGATTTATCATTAAAATAATAAGGTAGTCATAATTCAAACGACCGTTGTAGAAACATCCAAGCTAATGACTTAATATATTGATGCAGATGCTAACAAAATGAACATTGACCAAGGATGAAATTGATGAAGCAGACAGAGTAGACATAACCATTCTAAGAAAAAGAATGAACAATTTGGGAAAAGATTTTCTACTCTCAAAAGATTCAAAGGGAAAAAATATCCTTCACGGAATAATGGTGATTAAGAAGGAAAGTTATGTAAAAATACACGAGTTTGTGAGTTTCGTTGAACAAGCTCTTGAATGGGAACCATCACTCATTAGTCAAAAGGATAGTAAAGGGGATACTCCCATTCATGTCCTTGTGCGAAATCATCCTGATACTAAAGTTTTTACTGGTGATGAATATGTTGTCACTTCATCGCTAAGGCAATCGGAGCTTTTGTCATTGTTACTAAAGAAATGTAATCAATGTATCTGTAAAAGCGAGGCGATCGGGAAGAAAACTGTTGGTTTGGATTCACCATGGTTGTTGCAGAATGTGGAAGGTAATACTGCTCTCCATGAAGCCCTCAAATCGAATAATGATAACATCGATTTGGTGAAGCTTTTGTTAATGTACGACAAGAATTCGGTTAATGTGGTCTGTTGGTAAAATAACTGTTGAAATCAATAACAAACAAAAGATTAGAACTTTCCTGGATTGAAGATCCCAAACTCACAGTCGCGCCGTGGAACAATAATCCACTGCCTTAGAAGCGAAATACGCCACCACCGGTACAAGTTTCCTAGTGACACACGCCCCCCAAGTTTAACGCAACTTTCTCTGTTATCCGTGCACCCGAACTCGAAGAGTGGAATTGCTCAAGAACTGTTCAGATCTCAAAAGGTAGGTTTGTGTTTTCGGCTAGAAAGTGAATGAATGTCATGAAAAAGGTATGACTCATATTTATATGAGTCCTAGAAAAAAAGGAAACCCGTAATCAACCGACCTAGGAAAAAAGGCGGGCCCGATCGGGCGAGCTGCCGCCCAATCGGGCTCGAGATCAGATTTTCCAGACGTAGCTTCGCGCCCGGTCGGGCAAAGCCGCCCGATCAGGCGATCGGAAATCCCCATTCCAGGCGAGCCATCGGGCGAAGCCGCCCGATCGGGCTCGTCAAAACCTTGAGTCTGCCGCCCGGTCGGGCGCGAGAGATCTCGTAGAAAAACTCATGTCCGTCGCCCGGTCGGGCGAAGCCGCCCGATCGAGCGCGAGAGTTTCCGTTTTTTCCTTGACCACCTTCGCCCGATCGGGCAAGAGCCGCCCGATCGGGCGCGAGTCATCCGATTGCATTACTATTTCCAACAATCCCTCACTAATGCGAGCGGATCTTCAACATGAAATCTGAACAGTAAATGAAAGTCTTAGTACTTAAATGCTAGTATCCAAAGGTTTGAACTAAAACATTAGTGCACAAGGTTTTCAACACTTCCCTAGTGAGTATCCTAAGATTTGAACTCCTAGGAGCGAGGAAGGGACCTTGAATACACATACCTTGACTTTAGAGCTTAAGCAACTCCGCCAATCTTGGCCAACACTTGGGCTCTCATGAGTACTTCAGGAAAACAATACTCCAGTCTTCCCTTGAGAGAGGCCACCTCTCGTACTCACGTAGGTGTTCGTCCTATGTGTTATTCACACACGTTCCCAGCAAATTCAAAGGTCTTTCCCTGCAGGCTTAAACGTGTTTAAGCACCTTGCAAACCTAAGAAATCCATGCAGTGGAACTAGAACATTAAGAACATAAGTTCAACCCTTCAACTTTCGGTGTCATTATCTATCCTGTTTTAAGAGCCACTGGGACAAAGGTCTTAACTATATAAGCACCTCCATCTATCCCTGCTCAGAAAACAACTGGACTAATGACATTAAGAGATAAACTTATCCTAACAGAATCAACTTACAACTCTTATAGAGTAATTGATTCAAACACATGATACACATAACAAATCCACATGATTCATTTCAATGAAACAAAATAACCAAAACAGGTTCTTGAATTTATTATAACCAATGTATCATATCACATAGCTAGAATAGCTACCATTTCAAGTCATTACAACAAAGGTCCTAAACCCATACCAGTTGATGACTCCACCACTTGTCTACGACTCAAACCCTTAGTAAAAGGGTCTGCCAGGTTTTTCTCTGTTCGAACATAGTCCAACGAAATAACCCCATTCACAATAAGCTGCCTCACAGACTCGTGTCTGACTCTTATGTGCCTTTTCTTGCCGTTGTAAACACTATTTTTAGCAACACATATAGCGGCTTGTGAATCACAATGCATAGAAACAGGTGGTGTCGGCTTCCCCCACAAAGGAATATCAACAAGCAAATTTCTCAGCCAATCTGCCTCTTGTGTAGCCAGATCCAATGCGATGAACTCAACTTCCATAGTTGATCTAGCTATACACGTCTGCTTACCAGACTTCCATGAAACTGCACCCCCACTAAGGGTAAACACATAGCCACTTGTAGAGCTTGTTTCATCACTATCCGTTACCCAATTTGCATCACAATACCCTTCAAGAACCAAGGGATGACCATCGAAATTCAATCCCCAAGACATGGTTCCACATAGATATCTGAGCACACGCCTCAAAGCAACCCAATGTTGCTCACTAGGACAATGAGCATAGCGACTAAGTCTACTAACTGCAAAGGCAATATCAGGGCGAGTGCAATTCATTAAAAACATCAGACTACCAAGCACCTTAGCATATTCAGTTCGAGACACACCGTCCCCCATATTTTTCACCAAAGCTCCAGAAGGATCAAAAGGAGTTCTCAAAGGAGGAAAATCAAAACAATTAAAGTTCTTCAGAATTTTCTCCACATAATGAGATTGAGACAGAAAATATCCCTTCTTGGTTTTAGTAACCTTAACACCAAGGATCACATCTACCTCTCCCAAATCCTTCATCTCGAACTTTGAATTTAAATATTTCTTAGTTTCATTTATGACACACATGTTTGTACCAAACAGGAGCATGTCGTCAACATACAGGCATAATATCACACATTGCGCACCATACATCTTAGAGTACACACATGCATCACTACCATTGACAACAAAACCAAAACTCAGAATAGTTTTATGAAATTTTTCATACCATTGCTTCGGAGCTTGTTTCAAGCCATATAAGGATTTCTTTAGTCTGCACACCTTATTCTCCATCCCAGGAACTACAAAACCCGGAGGTTGCTCCATGTAGATCTCCTCCTCCAAATCGCCATTCAGAAAAGTTGTCTTAACATCCATCTGATGCACAATCAAATTGTAAGATGAGGCTAAGGCAAACAAAACACGAATAGTGGCAATTTTAGTCATCGGAGAATAAGTATAAAAATAATCAAGGCCAAATTTTTGAGTGAATCCTCTTATCACCAATCTAGCTTTGAACCTCTCCACGGTGCCGTCGGTTCTCATCTTTCTCTTGAAAATCCACTTGCACCCAATGGCTCTACTCCCTTTGGGCAGGTCCACAAGCTCCCAGGTACCATTTGACATGATTGAGTCAAGCTCACTGTTTACAGCTTCCTTCCAGAAGGTTGCATCAACTGAACTCACAGCTTCTTCAAACGATTTCGGATCTTCATCCACAACCTGAAGACACAGCATGATCTCATCTAGATCATCTTCAAACTCACCCAGATTTCCGCACTCTGCTATAAAGGCTGTTAGGAAATCAGGTCCAAAGCTTGTCTCCACTCTTTGCCTTTTACTTCTCCTAGGTTGAATCTCACTTTCAACCCTAGGGGAAGCAACTTCTGGCCCTGCAGATGAAGGAACTGAAGAAACATCGTTAGTAACTAAATTTTTCTTCAAAGGAAATACCTGTTCGAAGAACTCTACATCGCGAGATTTAGATATAGAGCGATCTTCCAGACTCATAAACCTGTATGCGACACTATTCTCAGCGTAGCCAATGAATACTGTATCATAGGTCCTAGAACCTATAGTTGAGCGCTTGAACGATGGATAGCCCACCTTAGCTAGACACCCCCATACTTTCATGTGATTCAAGTTTGGAGCATAACCCTTCCATATTTCATATGGAGTCTTGTCTAACTTCTTGTGAGTTACTCTATTCTGTACATAATTAGCTGATAGTACCGCATCACCCCACAAATTATCTGGCAGCCCGGAACTTAGGAGCATTGCATTCATCATTTCCTTCAAGGTCCTATTTTTCCTCTCTGCCACACCATTTTGTTGCGGAGTATACGGGGTCGAAACTTCATGAATTATTCCCTCACTTTCACATAAGTCATTGAGGAAATCGGAGCCATACTCACCACCCCTGTATGAGCGAACTCTTTTTATTTTCCGCTCCAACTGATTTTCTAACTCTGCCTTATATACAAGAAACTTGGACTCATCTTCATCCTTCGTCCTCAAAAGATATACCCTGCTATATCTAGAGCAATCATCAACGAAGGTGATATAGTAGCGTTTCCCGCCTCTACTTTCCAAGTTCTTAAAGTCTGCTAAATCTGAATGAATTAGCTCGAGTGGTGTGGTCTCTCTCTTTGTGACAGATTTATAGGGTTTCTTCACGAATTTAGACTCCGCACACACTTCACACTTTTCAAATCCATCTAATGACATATTTGGGAGCAAATTTAAACTTTTCATTTGTTTCAATTTTGTTGCACCAACATGACCCAATCTACTATGCCATAATTCAAAGGACTCAACAATATAAGCAGAAGTAGAAATCTTATTCATTGAAGGAACAGTTACAATTTCAAGAACAAATAGGCCCCCACTAAGGTAACCCTTTCCAACATACTCCCTATTACGGGTTAACACAAGTTTATTAGCATCAAAAACTAACTTAACTCCTACTTTGTACAACAAAGCACCAGAAATTAAATTTCTACGAAGAGAAGGAACATACAGCACATTGTGAAGAGCCAAGGTCTTCCCTGAAGTCAGCTTCAGAACCACTTTGCCCTTTCCAAGTACCTCAGAGCTGCTTGAATTTCCCATGTAGACTTGTTCTCCTTCCTTTGCATCTTCCATACTGACAAACAGGTCCTTGTTAGCACAGAAGTGTTTAGATGCACTAGTGTCCACAATCCATTCACTATTGTTCTCAACCAGATTGACTTCAGAGACAACTGCAACAATGGCATCTTTATCCTCATTCTCAACCAGATGAGCATGATCCTTGTTTCCTCCACTCGATTTTAGATTTTTCTTCTTCTTGTTTTTGCACTGTGAAGCAAAGTGCCCCACTCCACCACATGACCAACACTTCCCAGTGACTTTTTTCCCAATCTTGCCCTTAGCTTGGAGATTTCCCTTCTTCTCAGAGTTCCCCTTATTGGCACGATTATCACTTGCTTTCTTGTCAGAGTCAGCACCAGATTCAACAAGGTTAGCCTTGATTGCTAACACATTTTTAGGCTTAGAGGAAACATCCTTAAGCCTATTGGCTTCCTCAATATTCATGTGGCTCACAAGTTCTTCTAGGGTTAGATCCCTCTTTTTATGCTTGAGGTGATTTCTATAATCAGACCAGGAATCAGGCAATTTTTCAATCAAGACATTAGCCTGAAGGATTTCACACATCTTCATACCCTGAGCAAGAATTTCAGCAACATAATTTTCATACACATGGACTTGGTCCATGATAGGCTTAGTATCAACCAATTTAAAATTCAACCAATTTCCTGTCACATACTTCTTTTTCCCAGCATCATCAGCACCATATTTCTTCTCTAAGGACTCCCACATCTCCTTAGAAGATTTCATATTAACATACAAATCAAATATGTTGTTTTTCATGCTGTTCAAAAGATGACCTCTAACAAATTTATTATCACGATCAAATTTCTTGATTTCAGATTCATTAGCAACAACAGTAGTGGTCATCTGACTAGAGCTAGATTCTTTATTCCCAGGAACAGGAGTACTAGGAATTTCAATCATGGTATTGGTTTGCTCAATAGGTTTTGGAGCATCCCTAAACAAAACATAATCAATTTCTACTTGTTCAAAAGCAATTAACATTCTTTTTGACCATCTCTTATAATTAATTCCATCAAGAGACTCAACCTTAGACAGATCTAGGTATAGACGAGTTTGAGAAATTCTAGTCATGATATCAACAGAATAGATCAAAATATTTCGATTCTAAATTGTTGGTAAAATAACTGTTGAAATCAATAACAAACAAAAGATTAGAACTTTCCTGGATTGAAGATCCCAAACTCACAGTCGCGCCGTGGAACAATAGTCCACTGCCTTAGAAGAGAAATACGCCACCACCGGTACAAGTTTCCTAGTGACGCACGCCCCCCAAGTTTAACGCAACTCTCTCCGTAATCCGTGCACCCGAACTCGAAGAGTGGAATTGCTCAAGAACTGCTCAGATCTCAAAAGGTAGGTTTGTGTTTTCGGCTAGAAAGTGAATGAATGTCATGAAAAAGGTATGACTCGTATTAATATGAGTCCTAGAAAAAAAGGAAACCCGTAATCAACCGACCTAGGAAAAAAGGCGGGCCCGATCGGGCGAGCTGCCGCCCGATCGGGCTCGAGATCAGATTTTCCAGACATAGTTTCACGCCCGGTCGGGCGATCTGAAATCCCCATTCCAGGCGAGCCATCGGGCGAAGCCGCCTGATCGGGCTCGTCAAAACCTTGAGTCTGCCGCCCGGTCGAGCGCGAGAGATCTCGTAGAAAAACTCTTGTCCTTCGCCCGGTCGGGCAAAGCCGCCCGATCGGGCGCGAGAGTTCCCGTTTTTTCCTTGACCACCTTCGCCCGATCGGGCGAGAGCCGCCCGATCGGGCGCGAGTCATCCGATTGCATTACTATTTCCAACATGGTCAACGACAACAAAGAGACACCTTTTCATTTATTCGCTAGCCGTCCAGGTAACTCTCTTTCAGCACGTATCATTCTTTTTCCTATGAGGATGCCCCAGTTTCTCATAATGGCATTTTCGTGAATAAATTAACAACTTTTTCATTATTGTGGGCTCCATAATTGAATAAAGTTGTTGATTTATATACGAAAATGCCATATGAGAAACAAAATTTGTTTCTCACCATGAGCAACAGAGAATTTCCCTTTTTCGATCTGATATACGTTTATTTTGTACAATACCAAGTACATCCTATATTTTATATCCCTCTTATATACTCCCTCCGTTTTTAAAAACTTGTTCTATTTCTCCATGCGCGGATAAATTGGAGAAAATAATAAAATATGAAGGTAGTGGGGTTGGTAAAAGAATAAAAAATTGTAAAAAAACCAAAAGTAGTGGAGAGAATATACAGAGAAAGAATATGGAATTAATATTGTTGGGTCCACTTGGTGAAAGAAATTAATTAAATATTGTAAAAGTTTTCCAAATAAGGAAATGGAGCAAGTACTTAAAAACGGCCGGAAAAGGAAAGTGCGGCAAGTATTTAAAAACAGAGGGAGTATGATGTTCGAGTCACTTTTCAGTTTGGACGTCTTCTAAAGTTTCACTTGTATTTAAATTACTTCATCCCACTTTTAACAACGCAAATTTTCATATGTGGCTACTCACACCGTGTGGCAAGGGTTACTTGTTCAGCGCTTACTTAGTCAGGGGTTACTCAATCGGTCTTGGTTTACACGTTAAGTGTTTTGGTGTGTGTCATCCGGCTACACAGTGTATCAAACCACACAGAAAACGCACTAACCGACCAAGTAACCTTGGAATAAGTGAATTGTGACCAATCGAGTAACCCTTGAAAAAGTAATTCCGACCCCACAAAAAACCTTGAAAAAGTAATTCCGACCCCACAAAAAACGCAAGTTTTTGACAAACTCTTTTCCTATCCCATATCTAATTTACATACAAATTTTCTCCTAAACCAAGTTGTTTCATAAGATGAAACCATATATATATATATATATATATATATATATATATATATATATATATATATATATAAAAAAGATGAAACCATATATATATATATATATATATATAGGGTTGAGATCCAATGAGAGGGACCTTAATTAAAATGAGAAGGATGAGAAGGAACAAATGTGCATATACTTTATACTAAATGTGCATTTTTTTTTTATATTGAATGTACATAATTGTGTTTCAAATTGATAAAAAATTTTAATTTTCTGGAAAACGAAAATTATGCACATTTGTTCAAATAATATGCACATCAAATTTGAGTAATTTTTTTTTTTTGCACATTTAGTTTAAAAATATGCACACTTAATACAAAAATTATGCACAATAAATCCTTCTCATTCTTCTCATTTTAAAGAACTTCTCATTTGACCATATATATATATGTGTGTGTGTGTTTTATGTTGTTGCTTATTAGATCTCCTTATTATGAATTAAGGCATAGAGCAATTTTCACGACAAGAAATAAAGGAAATCATGGCGGCCGCAAAAGTGCATGTGCCCTTATCGGTAGACAAAGATGGTCTCACACCCTTGCTAAGAGCGGCTACAGCCGGTAACCATGTTGCAGCCGCAGTGCTATGCAAAGCTTCTCCAAAAGCAGCGGAAAGTTGCGACAAGAATGGCCAGACTTATGGGCACTTGCTTGTAAAACACCCATCGATTTACTATTTCTCCCGTCTTTTTGAAGATGTGGAATTAAGATCGTTGTTGATTTTGAAGGACAACCACGAAAACACACCATTGCATCTGGCAATTATGTATAATCGTTTTGACCTAGTACGACACTTTTTTCACTTTTGGAAAGATACATGTAAGCCAACAAAAGTTGAAGATCGATCAATGGATAGTTAAAATGCTAGAAGAACCAAACAAGGTTGGCAAATCTCCCAATGATCTACTAGCAGAATCACCTAACCTTCCACGCGACGTAAGTACTCCCATTCTTAACCACCTTTATTACTTTAGTTTGGTGCAATTTTCATTTGAAAGTTTTCAAGGAGGGTGCCCCAGTTTCTCATGGTGAGAAACAAATTTTGTTTCTCACATGACATTTTCGTAAATAAATCAACAACTTTATTCAACGGTGGAGCCCACAATAATAAAAAAATTGTTGATTTATTCACGAAAATGCCACCATGAGAAACAAATTTCGTTTCTCACCATAAGAAACAGGAATTTTCCCGTTTTCAAGGGTATAGGGTGCATTTTTCAAAACCTCAAGGATATACAGAACATTTTTTTTTAATTGTATTACAACTACTTTGAACAATATACAAGTATTTAATAACCCTTTTTATCATTCAGATTGAGAAGATGATTCTAGAAGAAAAAAAGTTGATAGGTGTTCTTAGCAAATGGGGTATTCCCTCAAGTGAGATGAAAACCTATGTGAACACAATAGGTATTATAGCGGCTCTTTTAACGACAATAACATTCACAACAGCATTCACGATTCCCGGTGGATTCCTTCAAGATATCGGGACACCAGTTCTGATAGACAATATAATGTTTCAGGCTTTTATGATATTAGATGTGTTTGCAATGTGCTTATCGATGATGGTTTTATACTGTCTCCTTTGGATCATGGCTACAAATAACCGGAAGAATTCAGTGATGATACTTGATTTCAGCGTAACATTAGTCCTGGCATCATTCTTCACAACTCTTTTGACATTCATGGCGGGTGTATGTGCTACTACCTTACAAGTTAAAGCTTGGATGGCTTACGTTGCTTTGGCTCTATGCTCATTGCTAATGGTTGTTCTTTATTTATCTAAAAATGCAACTGTAATTTGTGAACGGAAGTTTTTGAGAGTTTCACGTAAGTTTCCTAAATTACAAAAAATACTAAAACAACCTAGTCCTATAGTTGGTTCTAAACAGATCCCTTCGCAAGGTTCCCCCAATATTGTTTAGATAATAGGTTTATGTAGACATGTATTGTACTATGTACTCCTCAATTGTAACCGGCCATTACTTTTTTTCAATCATCAATAAGACGTGTTTTGTTTAAAATAGGGAGTGACTTGTTTTAATTAAATAAAAAAGATTGACGCTTTTATTATTTAGAGAATAAAGTGTACAGAAGAACATACTTGTTTTGTATCAAAAGACACTAATTAGTCTAGCAAGATGATTGGATAATAAATCCCTTCTCTTTTTACAAAAATTGAAATTGATCGAGCTAAGGTCCAAAACATCATCTGGAATACTGTCAAGCTAAGATTTGTCAAGTCAATGCTTTATAGAAGATACGTGTATAAGTTAGGATTATTTTAAAATAATCAAAAGTTGAGATTACTCAAAATTAAAAGAAATCACAAGTTGAAGGGGGCCCAAAAATTATATTATAACTTTTAAGAATAGGTAATCAATATAAACAAGGAAAATTTGCGAGGAAGGTCCTTTTATGAGGTCGAACTTTTGTGGAAGGTTCTTTTATGAAAAAGGTGGTACAAAAGGTCCTTATATGAACATTGGGTTGTGAGGAGGGTCCTTTGACCAAATTCCGGCGTTGACCAATTTTTTCCGGCCAAAAATAATTACGTGATGTGCACGTGACCACTTAAATGAGGTTTTTTTTTTTCCTTTTTCCCTCTTTTCCCTTGATTTCCCTTTCCCCCTTTAAATTAAGCTCGGAAACAACAATTACAATTAGAATTATGGTTGTTAATTGTTATGGTGTTTGATTTCACCAGAACCAGAACCGGCCACCTACGAAAACCACCCATTAAAACCCACACCTCGAACATCCACCACCTAAATAACCTCATTTAAGTGGTCACGTGCACATCACGTGATTATTTTTGGCTGGAAAATCTTGGTCAACACCGGAATTTGGTCAAAGGACCCTCCTCGCAACCCAATGTTCATATAAGGACCTTTCGTGCCACCTTTTTCATAAAAGGACCTTCCACACAAGGTCGACCTCATAAAAGGACCTTCGTCGCAAATTTTCCTATAAACAAATAAAATCTTTTTTGATAATTTAATCATTGCTACTCCTATTATTTATGTTACTTACTATCTTACTATCTTATATGTTTTGCAAATGAAATTTCGTTAAGGAATTAGATATTGCAGTACATAGAGTGGATTACTAATTTTTGTAAAAGATGTGAAAAGAAACAACAACTTCATCCGTTCTCTTTTAATCATAACTTTTTGGAAGGTAGTAAATTAATTGGACTCTCTATCTCACACCTCATTACATGGAATTTTCTTTCTATCTTTCCCTATTTCTCTCCTCCCTTAAAATACCATACATATTTCGGTATTTCCCCTACACGTTCCAATTAAACGGAAAAAATTTGATGTAAGAAAACAAATGGCAAATTATACAGTAAGGCAAAAACAAACAAACAAACAAACAAAGCATTTGCCATTTGCTGCTACTAATTAAATACTTAAGGTGGTAAGAGGCTAAGAGCTTTCCTCTCGGTTTTAGGGGACTAATTCTCATCACCCGTCCTTGTTGCTCTCTAAACAAAAAATAAAAATAAAAAATCATTTAACGCTACTCTCTATGTCCGGAACTTTGCGGCCTCTGAACGATGATACATTAGATTTAACACGTTCAACGAATGCTTTAGTAGCTGGGTATAAAACCATCCTATCAAATATAAGTATTGCTTTGCTAATTGGAATGAACAGCTTGAGGACGATGCATCTTTGTACGAGCACCAACAGCAAAGAGCATATTATCAAAGTCGCGATAGCAATCCAACGTTTGACGTTGTATGTTGTCGCATAAACTCCCGTCATGAAAGCCAAAAGTGTTGCAAAGAATGCTACGATGAGTAACGATACACTGAAGTCTTGTATCATCACTGAATTGCGCTTATTGTTAGTAGCCATGATCCAAAGGAGACAGAATAAGACCATCATTGATAGGCACATTGCTAGTACATCCGCGATCATAAACACTTGAAATGCTATGTCTCCTATCATTTGTGGAGTCCCTTTATCTTGGATTAGTCCACCCGGAACTTGAAATGCTGCTGTGAATGTTATTGTTGTCAAAAGAGCAGCGATGACATTCATCGAGTTCATGTAGCTATTCAACTGCTTCTTTGGAATGCCCCACGCGCTACGTATACCCATCATTCTAGTATCATTCGTAATGAATTTTTCAATCTGAACAACAATGGTAAGAAAAATTATAAAACATTAGTTAGAGTTGATGACTTCTGAAGAGACCCACAACCTAGGGCTCTGATACCATGTTAAATTTTGAAACAATATAAAATGGGCCGAAGGAAGAGAGTTTGGTCCACAAACAAGACTTTGGAGCTTCCATACTAAAATCAATTGACAATAATAAGAGGTACTTCTCTACTTTATAAAGTGAAACCATCTCTTCTCTTTCTCCAATGTGGGAGACTCATAAGTGGGTTACAATGGATTTCAACATGTACAAATGTATATTAATTATCAATTATAAGGTAATTAAATTAGTAGTACTTACGTTGTTAGGAAGATTAGGTAGTTCTCCAATTAGGTCGCCGGGGGTTACACCAGCTGCGTTTGATATTTCTAAAAGATTCAGTAGCCATTGATTTTCATCCTTTGATGACTTACGTTCATCTTTCCAAAAGTTAAGGAAAACTCTTACAAGGTCAAAACGCTCTTCTATGATTACCAGATGCAACGGTGTGTTTCCGTTTTTGTCCTACAATTCTAACAGACCTCTTAACTCCTTATCTTGAAATAAGCGGGAGAAGTATCTTTCTGGTTGATCTTTTACAAGCAAGTGCCCGTAAGTCTGGTCATTATTCGAGTCGCCGATTTCTGCTGCTTTTGGAGATGCATAGCATAGCATTGCGGCTACTTTGTAGTTACCAGCTTTAAATGCTCTTAGTAAGGGGGTGAGACCATCTTCATCTTTTGATTTGGCTGCTTCATAATTTGTACCCACCATTTCATCTAAGTCTTCTTGTGTAATTTGCTCTATGATTTAAAAATAACAAACATATTAATTGTTGAAATTATAATTTAGGTCAATTGGAGAGGGGAACTAACATTGGAAAAATTATCAAATAGGACCTTTTATGTGGTCTCCTTTGTGAAAAAATTCCTAATTGGGGTTAGAGAGAATGAAAGGGAAGGGTTTTGATTGGGGTTCAATTGGATTTAATTTAATTTGGAAGGAAATCGTGGGAAAAAATTTAAGGGGAGGTCATTTTAAGTGAGTCACATCACACATAGGTGATGGTCATGACGGATTTAGGCGTGGACTTGCTTGACAATTGAACCAGGTCCCACCTCACAACCTCAAATCACTTAAAAGGACTATTGTGTCACCTTTTTCTCAAAAGAGACCATATAGAATGTCTCATTTGACAAATTTTCTAAGAGTATTATAAACTTGATTAAACTTGATTGTATTCAATCCATTAAATACTAAGTACAATAAAATCTTATATGCATAGCTAAAATTAAAATCTTTGTAGCTCGTCCTTCCTCTTTTATTTTTTATTTGCAACAATCACTATAAAAATTTTACGAGTAAAATTAAATTCTAATAGAGAATACTTTAATTATTAAGACGGATCAAGATCAGATCATAAATTACTACAGTGTATATAATTTGTCTAAACGGTACTTATATGCTCACTTTTTTGTGAAAAATGACTTTATATGTTTAAAGTGGTGAAAAAGGTCCTTATTAGTTATTTTTGTTGTAAGGAGGAACCTTGACATTGGAATATGACCGCTGACTTCACTTTTCCGGCATTGACCATCATGTGACATGCATGTGATGTTTAGAAAATGTCTTTTCCTTATTTTTTTCCATGATTTTGAGGAAAGAGTAGGGATTTTGAGAGAAAATTCGGGGAAAGAAAGAAAGATAATGTGAAAACGTGGGGAAAAAATTAATGAAAGGGTCTTTTTAAAACATCACGTGCCACGTGCGTGATGGTCAACACCGAAAAAGTAAAGTCAATGATCATATTCCGATGTTAAGGTCCTTCTACACAACAAAAGTGACTTATAAGGACCTTTTTTACCACTTTGAACATATAAGGTCCTTCTTCGCAAAAAGGTGAACATATAAGTACCTTTCTAACAAATTTTCCGTAATAAAAAAGGATTAAAAAAAAAAAAACAAATGTGCTCAAGAGAACTTACCAATGGGATGGCTAGCAAACAGATGAAGAGGTGTCTCTTTGTTATTGTTGATTGCACTAAGTGAATTACTATTGTACTTCAACAATAGTTTCACCAATTCAATGCTATTTTTTGATTTGATTGCTTCTTGAAGAGCAGTATTACCTTCCATATTCTGTAACAACCATGGCGACTCAATACTTCCCTTGACACTAGCCTCGTAATCAAATTTAAGGATACGCCGATGGCATTTCTCTAGTAATGACGGCATAAGGCCTGATTCCCAAAGTGAGGAGACTACATAATTTTTAGTGTTACTGGGGTTACCATCACTACTATTATTATATTGCGCGTTATCTTCTACTCTTGGAGGAACTTTAATTGCGGTATCAGAATGATTTTGCACAAGGACATGAATCGGAGTGTCACCTTTACCGTCTGTCTGAGTAATTATTGACGGAAATTTTCCAAGAGCTTCTTCAATGAAATTCACAAATAAATCTGGCTTAAGAGGACTATTCTTCTTGAACACCATCATTCTATGAATGATATTTCTTCCCTTTGGACCTTGTGAAAGTAAGAAATCTATTCCTAAGTTTTCCATTTTTTCCCTTAGAAAGGGTATGTTAGCTTTGTCTGCTGCATTCATTTCATCCACTGTCAATTTTCTTCTCCATAGAAGCTGCATCAATTATAACGTAGATGTAAATTTTATTGCCGTAGATTAATATACAAATACAAGGAATATTCAACATGGTTCCTCTGTTTTTTTGTTTTAAAAGTGCAACAATTAGACTTGTGTGATTTTTAATTAAGGGAAAGTATATTCTTAGTTAAGTATTAGACTGTGAGTT